AATCTTGCATTTTTGTTTTGTTCGAATATCTCGGAAACTATTGATTTTATGAGAAAATGATTTCAACATTCTCATAGCACTTTTTGATGTTCTTTTCAATGGTTTTGTCAGTTTTCCATCAAAATGTCAAATTTGTGAGATATCACCTACACCTTCAATTTTTCTTATGGACGCCATATTGGATTTTAACAGATTTGAAATCAGCATGAAATTTCCTTTTTGAGGATGCATCACAATCACAGTTTTATCTCGTAAATTGGCCATTACATTCCTATATCATTTATGTATATGCTGGGCTTGCTATGGGAAACTCAATGTGTCGATTATCTTGTACTGGCCTTTTGCCGGGGAACTGAATATGATTGCTGGGTACCCAGCACTGGGACCAGCTGCCGGCCGCAGTGTACTGATATACTGGGTGATTCACATAAGAACCGACATAGAGCAGGGGCATGTAGGAGGTCCCAAAATATGGCAATTTAACGCAACTTACCTCTATACCAAGTTGCTTCCCAAAGGAGTTATAGGCTTTGAAAGTGAAGTTATAAATTTTGAAAAAAATCAATATCTCCGTTATTCTTGAACTCAAAGCAACCTTAGTTGGTACACTTTGTGGATGTATTTAGGGCGTTACTTGACAGTAACTAGAGCTCAATTGAAATTTGTAAAGGGGGTATACCGGGTGGCGCACCATTGATATATATTCAACAGAATTTTGTTAACCCTCGATGGATTTCAAAAATATTTGCTTTGTTGTGTGGGCAATTCAATCCTTAAACTTTTCTTAGTCTAGTAATTTTTCGAAAAACCTCATCATTTCCATCAAAAACTCGAATAACTGAAAACGCGCGCACTAGGTTTGTTATTTAAAATCATCGAAAAAACAAAATACGTAAAGTAAGGACAGATACTGAAATGTGAAAAACTGCGATTAACAACTAACCAAAATAAACACAAAAAACTCAAACAACAACCAGAACAAACAATTGTTTATCGATAAAATACTCAATTAAACAACTCACTTGCTTCATTGTCAAGTTTGCCGTTTATTTTCATAGCCAACTTTTGAATTTTCGATGATTTTAAATAACACACCTAGAGCACGCGTTTTCAGTTATTCGAGTTTTTGATGAAAATGATGAGGTTTTTCGAGAAATTACTAGACTAAGAAAAGTTTTAGAATTGAATTGCCCACAAAACAAAGCAAAGATTTTTGAAATCCATCAAGGGTTAACAAAATTCTGGTGAATATTAATGGTGCGCCACCCGGTATACCCTCTTTACAAATTTCAATTAAACTCTAGTTACTGTCAAGTAACGCCCTAAATACATCCACAAAGTGTAATAAATTTGGTTGCTTTAAGTTCAAGAATAACGGAGATATTAATATTTTTCAAAATTTATAACTTCACTTTCAAAGCCTATAACTCCTTAGGGAAGCAACTTGGTATAGAGGTAAGTTGCGTTAAATTGCCGTATTTTGGGACCCCCTACATGCCCCTGCTCTATGTCGGTTCTTATGTGAATCACCCTGTATAGAGTCCCGCATATGGGACCATTTACTGGGCCGCTGATGTCAGGTATTGGAAAAATATATTAGGCCATTGATGCCCCATATCAAAATATTTGTTGGGTACTGTCCCTATCAGTTTCCAACTTGAATAAATCACTATACCAATCATAACTTTTTTATTGTCAATAGTTCATAATATTTGATAATATAACAAGAAAATCAACTTGAAACATAAATGAATAATGCACAACATTATAGTTGATGCAAAACAAAACAAAAACCCAATATCCTATATTATAATAGTCTCACTAAAACTTCCACCCTTATCATTATCGATTTTTTTGACACTAAAGAATACCTCTTAATAATACAGGGTGTGCCATAATTAGTTATTCAAATAAAGCATTATTTGGAAAATACCTTTTCGGAAATCACAATTAAAAAACATCTTCAGGGGAACTTCCTTTACCCATGTGAATTTATACGTAGTTCTTATTCTTGGTAAATAAATCTACTGACAAAGTATTGCACACTAATTATGACACTCGCTGCCAAAATGCAAACTTAAAAAATATACAGGGTGATTCAGGTTTTAAGGCACAAACTGAAATGGGAGATAGATCTCATCATTTTAATCAAAAAAGTTTATATAAACATTAGTCCGATCTCGTTCAGTAGCGGAGCTACAGGGGGTCAAAGTTTAATTATTTTTTTCTAATAATTGAAATATCTCCCTTACTTTTCAAGATATCATTTTGAAATTTGGTGTGGTCAATACTTCCTAGAAGATCATCATTTCAAGCATTTCAAAGATTTTCAAAATCTACAGGGTGATACGTTTTTGGAGGTAGAGGCTTCTTTATCCCCTCCAAACTTTTTCGTAGTACGCCTCTGGCATCTTTCAGTGATCAAATTGTATGGATCGTTCAATTTAGGGGTTTCTTTTGCTCTTCAATTTTTTTCGAGAAAAAAACCCGTTTTTGAGATAAATAAGCATATACGTTCGAAAACATGTTAATTTTGCTGAACACTTTTCTAAGCTTTGTTAATATTCATCTCCAGGTCTGTGTTACTCTTATCAATTATTGTTTATTTAGGTTGAATTATTTGCGTTAGTACAATGTTTTATTATGTTAATGTCTAAGATGGAAATCATAAAGTAAATTTATGAATTGAAAAAAACAGATATTTGTATTGATAGCTTACCTAACTTCAGGATGAGACGGATTTAAAGATTTTCAAAATGGTAGAATTTTTTTCACGGCAACTTTAGGAAACTGAAAAAAGAACTTGACTTTCTACCCTCCGTATCCCCGTTATGCCGTTAGGTACTGATCCAGATTGGACTCGTGATTTCAATTTTAGTGAGTACATTTTATTGAATTTTCAACGAATATTGTCAAAGAACAAAATATTTAAGCGAAACATAGGCAAAATTAACATGTTTTAGAACGTATATGCTCATTTATCTCAAGAACGGTTCGTTTCTCGAAAAAAATTGAGAGGCAAAAAAGCCTCTAAATTGAACGATCTACACAATTTGATCACTGAAAGATGCCAGAGGCGTACTACGAAAAAGTTTGGTGGGGATAAAGAAGCCTCTACCTCCAAAAACGTATCACCCTGTAGATTTTGAAAATCTTCAAAATGTTTGAAATGATGATCTTCTAGGAAGTATTGACCACACCAAATTTCAAAATAAGATCTTGAAAAGTAAGCGAGATATTTCAATTAATAGAAAAAAATAATTAAACTTTGACCCCCTGTAGCTCCGCTACTGAACGAGATCGGACTTATGTTTATATGAACTTTTTTGATTGAAATGATGAGATCTATCTCTCATTTTAGTTTGTGCCTTAAAACCTGAATCACCCTGTATATTACCTTCAGAATAACATGGAATGCTAATTGAAAACATAAATAACAATTATGGTCACTAATGCAAAACCAAACAAAACTCCCCTTTAGTATTACCTACTTTCATTGGTATCGTTTTTACAGTGAATATGAAAAACAAACTCAGATTGACAGGAATACTAATGAAAACATGAATGTATCAATGATGCAAAACAAAACATAAACTCCTATAAATGGTTATCAAGTAATTGTACATAGAAGCAAATAGTATGTATTATCTTTGATAGAAATGTGGTAGGTTTTTTTACTTCAAAACATATCATTTTTGCAAAAACTTCGATGGTTCGAATCTAGAGGTTTTTGAGTATGAGAAATCTAATTTGGTACCTACATCAATGTATGTTCTAGAGGGCGCTACATAATCCATTCTTTGAGGCATAAATGTGCCCCTGATTTGTGTTTGTTGTTTAGGTTTGCGCCATTTTTATAAAAGAAATATTTAGCCACATTATTTCAATGAAGATAAGTTATTATTACTTATCCGAAAACTTGGCAGGTTTCGGGATTATTGCATTTTGGGAATCAGCTGCAATATCAACGTAGTAGGTGTGTCAACGCTAGTAATGTTTTGACATTTTGAAAATATTAACGTGGTAGACGGATGTCGAGGATGATTTTGAAAGCTAAACATCCTTTTTTTACATAATTTATCACGTTTGTGATTCATTAAACATATTTTTTTAAATAAATAAAAACCTGTCAAAATCTTTCTCAAATATGTCAAGACTATGTAGGTATATATCCCCAAACTTTGAAAATGTTATTGCTTAGTCGCCTATTACGTTGATATTTCCCATGATGAATTGAATGAGAAATAAGCAGCTGATTTAAAAAATGCGAGAATCTCGAATACAGTCAAGTTTTGGGATTGATAACAAGTATAACTTTTTTTTTGAAATGTGTCATTTAAATTCCGTAATGAAAATTGCGAAATCTACATGAGTACAAGAAAGTTAAGTGCACTTATCCTAGAAAATATATTGAAATAGATAGCAAATAGATAGAAAGCAAATGCCCAAACACCTTTAGTTTCGAAACTACCATGTGTCCATGGCCAACCACTTTCCCTTATTAGCATTATTTCATCAAGGCAAGTCGCTCCAAATCGTAATATTTTGAAGTCGATTATCGGCCATGCCTCTATGTACCATTGATGAAGGAACATCCTGTATATATGCTACAACCTCTACCATTACCGGTATCGTCCTTAGTATAAATACATAATATATAGTGCATAATAATCATAGAACAAGATAAACTTCGAAAAGTATAACCCTTTGATCAACTTGGAATGAAAATTGAAAACAAATGAACTTTATCAATGATGCAAAACGAAACAAACATATCATTCATGAACTTACTTGACCCTTTTTAATCCGGTTTTTCTATCCTAAATGTAATAATCATAGAACAAAATAAAGCATAATCTTTTGATTAACTTGGAATGAAAATTGAAAACAAATGGACTTTATCAATGATGCAAAACAAAACAAACATCATTAAACTTACTTGACCCTTTTTAATCCGGTTTTTCTATCGTAATGCCCTTGGCACCCACCGCCCCTGAAACTTCGTCAGGTTCGCTGACAGTATTGACGAGTTCGTCGGGTTTGTTGACAGCTTTAACAAGATCGTCAGGTGTGTTGACAGTTTCAACGGGTTCGCCAGGTTCGCTGACAGTTTTGACGAGTTCGTCGGGTTTGTTGACCGTTTTGACGAGTTCGTCAGGTTCGCTGACCGTTTTGACGAGTTCGTCAGGTTCGCTGACCGTTTTGACGAGTTCGTCAGGTTTTTTGACAGTTTTGACGCGTTCGTCAGTTTTGTTGAGTTCGTCTACATTGTTAACAGATTTGACGAGTTCGTTAGGTTCGCTGATAGATTTGACGAGTTGGTCAGGTTCGCTTACAGATTTGGCGAGTTTGTAAGGCGTGTTGAGAACTTTGACGAGTTCGTCGGGTTCGCTAACAGTTTTGACGAGATCGTCAGGTTTGTTGACGAGTTCATTATTTCTATTCACTGGAACCTCGCCGTACCTTTCAGGGCCAAGGGGATAATATGAGTAGTGAGGCGGGTAGTAGGGATTCGCATTGGACGGGTAGTAGGGGTCCCGAAGAAAATCACCGGGTTTAATGGATTCGTCGGGTTTGTTGACAGTCTTGACGTGTTCCTTGTTACCATTCACAGAGACTTCACGGTACCTTTCGTTACCAAGAGGGTGATATGGGGGGTAGACAGCCGCGTAGATGGGTTCAGCATGGGGTGGGTAGTGCTCGCCGTTCATTCCAAGACGGGGAGGGTAATATGGTGGGTAGTAGGGGTTCGCATAGGGACTGTAGTAGGGGTTCGCGTGGGGTGGGTAGTAATAAGGGTCACGAGGAGGATGAGGTTTGGCAGATCCATCCGGTTTGTTTACATTGATGTTTCCATTCGCTGATGGGGGTTCGTCATATATTTCGGGGCGCGGAGGGAAGTATGGGGGATAGTAGGGGTTTGCATGGGGAGGGTAGTATGGGTTTGCGTGGGGTAGATAGTAGGGGTCTCGGGAAGGAGGAGGTTTGACGGATTCGTCGGCTTTGTTGACATTCATGTGTGCATTCGTCGATGGGGGCTCACCATATGCTTCGGAGCGATGGGGGTAATATGGAGGGTAGTAGGGGTTCCCGGGCTGCGAGAAGTAAGGGCTTCGGGAAGGATGGGATTTGATGGGTTCGTCGATAGTTTTGTTCGTATCGTCAGAGGATTCCTCATCCTCTATCTCATCCTCGTCCTCATCGTTGTCGTCCTCGTCCTCTTCGGGTTCGTTGTGTTCTGCAATAGAGGAGTTGTAACCCATTAGCACCGTGCGTTGCCATATGGCAACGCTAGTCAGGTGAAGATTCAAATAGATCCCAAGTACTCAAATTTTTAGCAATGAGGGAGAGAAACAGCCCACCCGTTTCGTAAAATAATAAAAACGGCTATGCACAAGTCGCCAGTTCTTTGTTGTGAGTAAGATTTTTTGGCAACGTGAATTCGTGAAACTTTGAGTTCATTTTCACTTACGTAAAACATGGACGTTACGTTCTAGTACGTACCATCCTTTGTTTCACGCATTTGAATTTACGAGTTTTTTTTCCATAATAATGTTGCACATGCTTCAAGTTATATATGTGATATATTCAAAAAAATTACAGGAATATTTTTTGTGTAGAATGATAATCGTGTTGCCATCTGGCAACGCCAGGCGCTTATACTCAGCGAATGTGCTGACTCTCCGGCCGACTCAATGGATGTTGATCCAGTGGCCCGACGATCTTCTCTTCGGAATTTTTCTAATACGCCCATTTCAATATGTGATGGGTCAAATAATTGGATGACTGATCGGGACACGACGAAGTTATTTAGCACTTGCTCGAAGAAACCAGATGGTATGAGTTGTATAATGAAATAGTACTACTTGTATATAGGCGGAACTGACCAGATGTAACAACATATTAGTTATTACCGCATAGGAATTCCACTCCTAATCACTCGGATATTAGACGGAGTCATGCAGAATAGCTGCATATTGACAATGAAAATGTGTTCAAAACGTAATATTGGTATGTTTAAATATCCCAAAACAAGTATCACAAGCGCCTAGTGTTGCCATATGGCAACAGTAGATTTTTGGAAAACCTGAATTCCATTATGATTCTATATACTTCATTTCACACTGGCTGAGGGCCATAAAATATCAGGAAAAAAGAAAAAAATAATTTCGGCGCTAATGGGCTAATATATCATGTCGTGGATACCAGGCCCGGGCAGGACCGGCGGGCAACCGAGCAAATGCCCGGTGGCATTTAAACATTCAACTATCGGATTCGGCACCCGTCTCAATTATTCCCATTGGCTCATTTGAATACACCTCAATATCACAACCAATAAGGGAAACGGTGCCGAATCGCGTAGCACAATGTCCGAACAGTGCCCAAATCGGTAGTGGGAATGTTATATAATACCTACGGTGCATAAATCTAATGTTGAATTTAGATGCTGAGAAGCAGGGTGGAATGTCAATTCATAATTTGCTATTCAGCATGATTCATAGCCAGCTCAATGAAGTGAAATACCTATAGGTATTGTATTCTTTTTATTATGCACGTTATATATATATATATATAGGTTCTCTCTCTCGCGAAAAAGTTTTGCCTCATATATTCAAATTCACAATATTTTATTTCTATTTGGGGGAGCACAGATATTTCACGCTTCAAACCACTAATGAGATTACAAAACAAGTCAATTGAGTGCATTTTTCATCTAAATTTTATATATAGAACCAACAGTAAAGGACCACGCACACATTATATGGGAAAATGTCTTTCGGTGAAAATGGCTGAATTTTTTATATGTTGTAGCTGTAGTAGTCATTCTAAGTAATAGACTCCATCGGCCCAACTCGATCGTATGACCAGATTCGGCGCTAGAGGGTGAAACATCATGAATTTTGTGTATTTTTGAGTCTTCGAAGCTTAATGAAGAATATGAAAATCTCGTGATATGCATTCACCCTACCAAAATTCATTAAAGATAGATATGTCGAAGCCCTGAGGGGGCAGAAGGACGATCTAGCCTTTATAGCCATCTAGTGGCTTAAGTGCAAGGTGTATAGGTAGATTCATCAATCATACCTTGCGACTAAGTCGTGCTTATAGACCCCTACGGCTATATGCTTACAGAAAAGACATCCATGTCAGATTCTGTAGACTATCGCAACACCTGTTATTCTCTCAAAGTGGTTTAATGTTCCACTAACAGATGGTGATAAACCTAGAATCTCAAGACTAAGAGATTCTAGGGATTCTGTCTTGCATCAGCTGACAATCGATTCACGAAATCTCCCTAGAATCTCTTAGTCTTGAGATTCTAGGTTTATCAAAGATAGATATGTTTCAAGGTTACAGAAAGAATTTAGTAGCCTTTTCACAGGGTGGTCAACAATAAACTAATTTTCAGAAAATCATAGGTCATCGATCAGAATAAACGTTGATCGGAAGAAAAGAAAATGATAATCATTGATACAGAGTGATCTGAATAACAGAAAATGCCAATATACTCATTTAGATGATTTAATCATGACATAGTCCTGAATATGTCTTCTGATGCCATAGTCTGAATTCTTACCAACGAAATACAATGAGAAGTTTCACGAACATTCGTCATTACTCTAAGTTCACTTCAGGTTATGGCCATATGCAAAAAATACAAGGGCTCTTCTTCATTAAGAAAAGATCCATCTTGCATGAAAATCAACTTCGTGACAAGATGATTCAATGTTTTGTTATGATTTTTGTTATTGAGTGTATGTGTGAATGTGTGTATACAGGTTGTCAATTTGAAAACCATCAATGCGAATATCGTAAAATTCGAAAGTTGGCATTCGGATTTTCTGAAAATTAGTATATTGTTGACCACCCTGTGAAAAGGCTACTACATCCTTTCTGTAATCTCGAAACATATCTATCTTTAATGAATTTTGGTAGGGTGAATACATATCACGATATTTTTATATTCTTCATTAAGCTTCTAAGACTCAAAAATACACAAAATTCATGATGTTTCGCCCTCTAGCGCCGAATCTGGTCATACGATCGAGTTGGGCCAATGGAGTCTTTTACTAAGAATGACTACAGCTACAATATATCAAAAATCCAGCCATTTTCACCGAAAGACATTTTCCCATATAATGTGTGCGTGGTCCTTTATGCAAACCTAGACAATTTCTAAATCTGATTTAGTTATATAAACTCGAAGTATGTTCTTTTATTCATTTTGTCAGGAATAAATTCACAATATCAAACTTAGCTTTTAATGAAGTCAATACAGTCCATACTTATGGAACTAGACAATTGAATTACTTGATAGCAAATACATTCAAGTCGAACATTGGGAAACAATCTATATTTCATAATGGAATAGTTTTATACAATCCATTACCGAATGATTGAAAAATATACATGATGTAAGCTGATTTAGAGTCAATCTTAAACAATACCTGATGAGGACAATTCGATTGAAAAATATTTGGCATGATTTGATTACCCAAAATTGAAATTTTATAACTTTCATCTTGAGAAAAAGTATAAATTTGTTTCTACTGAGTGGAATTCATTAGTTAACCTATTAATATCATCATTATTATTTTTATCATTTTATTTAAAAAAGTTTTTTATTTGAGACGAGATCTACCACATAGGTACTTAGGTTTCCTAATGTTCTTAGCAACTTCACTTAGAGCCCTTGGACACCTAAGTAACGTGCATCGAAATAGAAAATTGCAAATATTTCTAAAACGATCCCCTCCGGCGTTGTTGAGAAAGCGTACCCTTTTTACTTTTCAAAAACGTATGGGTATAATAAGGTTTTTTGATGAAAAGTGCAAAAAGTTTACTGTCAAAAAAGTTGAGGCAATTTGTAAGCGCACACAGCGCCCTCGAGGTGATACCTGAAAATTGATAGGAAATTATGATTTCTCACCACAAAAAAACCTAGGGTACCAAGGTTGGTGCGAAAAAAATATTTTTTGCAAAAGTCCATATAGACTTTTTTCGCAAAATTGTCTCAGGAACAACGTCATTTAAATATTTCAAGATACTTATCGTTCTATTTCAAACCTTCGACTCCTGTATAAATCCACTTACTTCTATGTTCCGGGACATATGGATCTAAGGGCACAATTTGAACTCTAGGTGAACGGCGTCCGTAAGAGGCATAATGACCTTGTGACTCTGCGTACTGGTATCTCTGATAAGGCGGTGGACCATCCATCAGTAGTACTGATCCTTGTTTGGCACCCTCAAATATACCTGGACCTGACAAGAAGTACAAATTTCTATGAATTAATATCACTCAAACTCTCGATCATTTCGAAATCTTTCATCATAAATTAACTTTCCCAAATTAAAATATTCAGTACATTGTAGTTTCGATCAGGTCAGCGGTCATAGACGTCAGTTCCTTTATAATTTGCAAAAAAAACGCTTACTGCGCGATAATACCTAGGTGAGCAATATCGAAAGGTAATGGCCATTCCCATTGCGGAAAATTGCGAATCTAGCATCGATTTAAAAATATAAATAGAACCCGAATCGATAAGGCATGGGCATAATTAGTTCAATCGTTATTCGATTCATCACTACCAATTGTTATATTAAAATCAGTACATAACACTCAATCATCGATTGCTGACTTACAAAGTGGCACTATGCCACTTTGGGGGTATGACATCTCCTCGACTTTGGTGCTGCAGCCCATAACATAATGTAAGTACCAAGAACCATCATCCTGTTTCTGTTTCATATTTGTTCTTTGCTGTTCCGCCCTTTTGGCACATTTTCATGTTTTCGTGATTGAATAAATTGTTTGTTGTACTTTTGAAAAACAATTCTCCTTATTTGGGGATGAATGTGATTGGGTGGTGAAATACTGAAAGTACTCTTGCGAAACAGCCAAGCGAGTACTCTAAAGTTGATACATCGAAGTAAAAGCGATGTCTGAGTTGCGACACGTGGTGAAGAACTATCTGAGCTGCGACAATAGCAATATTCTTTTTACCTTGTTACATTCTCACTACTGAGATCAATTGAGTTAGGTGAGACGGATCTGAGTTGTCGATTGAATAAAAAGAACCGGTTTTTATCTGTCAGGAAGGCCAAGGGAAGGAAACATATCCCAACATAATTCAACCAGAATGTAAAATGGCTAAGAAATTAATGAGGAGCATAAAAATATTATTGTAGTGAGCATGTCAAAATGCCACAGAACTACTAGAATTAATCCAGTCTCACCTTTTTCTCACTACAACACCAGATGAATAGCAAGCTCAGTTGGGGTGAGGGAAAAGAAATATTAGTCTCAATAGGTTCTTGAGACAACTCACATCAGACTGAGATAAATAAAACATGTAATACAACTGAGCTATTGAGCTGCACTGAGAATCTTGGTTAATCTCAGTCAAAGTTGGTAAAAAGAATATTACTATTATGTAAATCTTCAGATTTCTAATTCGCGATAGAGAATAAGTGTAGTTTTTGAAAGCTGTCATAGTGGAATGTTTACTTTGTTTTCATTGGTTCACATTTGTGTTCTGTTTGTGCTTATGTGTTCAAATATGTTGCCGCCAGGAATAGGCGAATAGGCAATAAAACAAATTTTGGAATAAATAGGATAAGCTAAGTAAACATTTGATATTTTTTCTACATATCTTTTTTTCTACTCTCCAAACTTTTTTGAATACAAAGCTAGTGCATTTTTCTTTTAGGCTCTCTGATAGATTTTTTTTTTAAACGCAGTGACATTTTGGGGCAAATCATCTGATTTATCCCATTCATATTTTTATTTTATAGAAACTAGGAGAGAAAATCCCCAAAAAACTGGAATAATGATTTTTTTAATCATATCATTTCAGTCCGAGGAGGATAAATCACACAAAGAATAAGTTTACAGAAGAAATTATGTTCTTAGCTATGCGCCACTCATTGTGAAAAGCCTTGACCACATCTCATTTATCCACGAGGTAAAATATAAAAACAAATTCAATTTTCTCGAAAAAATGACATTTGACATAACAATTCCTGTTTTGATCTGCTGAACTCGAATATGTTGAAATATACAGGGTGATTCAGTTTATACAAGACCAACTTGACAAAGGATATTATGTAGTATCTATTTTTATGGTCCGAAAAAAGCATTTGATACAGTTGACCACAATATTCTCCTGAAAAACCTCAATTCAATGTGCATCAGAGGTATTGGAAACAATATCTTGAAAACATATCTAGAAAATTGGACTATCAGTACTAAAATCAATAATTGTGAATCTAAGATACTATATAAAAGGAGTTCCCCAAAGATCAGTGTTGGGCCCAATTCTGTATCTTTTATACATTCAAAACATTTGAAAAATGAATTTGATAGGAAACTATGCCATATATGCAGATGACACTGTAATTTTAGGAAACATCATAAATGAGGATTTGAAGAAAATGGAAGAATAGCTATACTCCAATCTTCTTTCCCTTAATCCGAATAAGACACAATATAAAACTTTCCATCAAAGAAATAAACAAAATATTGATTTGAATATTAGAATAAAAAATGAAGGATTGAAACAAACTGCCTATACCAAATACCTTGGTATTTGGATTGATGAAAAGTTAACATGGGACAAGCATATTGGCATGCTCAAAGAAAAAAATTCTCCCATAGTTGGTGCCCTAAGAATATGTCCTAAACTCTCTCACATCCTCAGTAAAATAAACTATATCATGAATATTTGGGGTTCATGTTCCAAAAATAATTTCAACAAAATATCTGCACTATATAAAAAAGCATTAAAACTACTGTATCGTCTTTCATATGACACCCCATCAAATCAACTTCATGAAGAAACAAATACATTTTCTCTGGAAGAGCACTATCTGATTAATACTATCAATATTTTTTTGATATTATCAACAAACACCTCGAATCTAACTTCATATTGGTAAAGAATTCTCAAATCCATGAACATCATACTAGACCATATGACTTGTTTCATCTTGAAGCTGCTAATTCTACACTTGGCCAAAAAAAGTTTACTCACGGAGCTATCTCAAAATTCAATAAATTACCTGATGGTATCAAAAGTTGCACAAATATAACCAAATTCAAAATTAAAGTCAAGAAACATATATATTCTCTTGCAAAGAGAAAATCAAACCTCAGTGAATGATTTCTCATTTACTAATTTATTTCATCATGCCATAATGTACGTTTCATGAGCTTTTCGTTTTATTATTATTATTTTTGAATCTGTTGTTTATTTCAATAAATTAGATTCAATAACGCATGAATAATCTCATACCAGATATGAATCTGTCTGATTAGGCCAAACTAAATAATGTAGGTATTATAACATCAACTTCATACCTGTGATTTGATCTGATTTTTTGAGTCCCACACCTTGACGTGTATTTTTGTCGAATTGCTGCTTAGCATTCCTTCTCTTGTTATTTTTCTTTGCAGCTTTCTTATCTTGCCCCTTCTTATCATTATTTTTCTCCATCTTCTCTTTCCATTTCCTGAGAACTATATCGTGAAAGTATTCCGTGTTACTAAACTCTTTGGCCCTGGACTTTTTCTGACACTCGTACAAATCCTTGATGTTTTTGCCGTTGTGTTTAAGCTTGAATAATTCCTGGATGCTAGCATTGATTTCTCTAGGAGTGACTGCGCTGCCAGAGGGGCCTAACTTTAGTGCTTCGTCGAATGCTTTTTTTGTTTCCAGGTATTCCCTTAGAAGTTTTCGCAGATTTTCAACAGTCACCGTGTCACAAAATTTACCCATCGATTGTTCCCTACAAAAATATTAATAACTGTAATACAATGATAAAACAAGGTCGAGAAGACATACACGTCATATTTATCCAAGCCGAATAGTGTAAGTACGCAAGGCGGGAAAAGTCTTCCGCACCATGATTCAAATATAATTCTTCTACAACTGTCAAAAAACTGTACTATTTTATGTTTCATTATTTTATGGAAATAATGTGTAAATCATCCGCGGACACAACAAAAACATCATTGACGTCTACCATCATCTACAAACGGAAAAACCAGATATTCTGGCAGAAACTCAAGTGAACTCGTACACCAACAAGGTCCCCATGCTCTGTCCTGGTTACGAACTTCATTCTCGATTCAGGTTCAAAGGTGGAGTTTGCCTCTACACAAAGGCTAACCTTTCATGCCAGCGTGAAGAGAGTTTGGAACCGAAAGACTTTGATGTGATGTGGTTCAAGCTAGTCGATACCAAAGTGACCGAATTTATCTGCTGCCTTTACCTATCGCCTAATGATAATGAATATAACCTCTTTGAGTTTTCATCACTCAAACTGGACTTCATTCAGCTGAAATCATAATCATGGGAGACTTCAATGTACACAAATGCAGCCTGGCTCAAATTCTCTAACAAAACAGATGGTGTAGGTCGTCAAACTGAGGCTTCGTCATCACTCATGGTCTAGAACAACTAGTCGGTCTACCAACCCCATTCCAGATGTCAACGACCAGTCTGCCAATGCACTAGATCTATTTCTGACCAGCAATCCTGATCCATATAGAAAAGAAGTTTGTGCCCCACTTGGAAACTCTGACCACACCCTCATCTCCACAACCTGCTCTTTCCATGTACCATCCAGCACCACAATTTCTACCAAACTCATGTGGCATTACAATTCGGCCGACTGGGAAGGCCTTCGTATGTTTTTTTCAGTGTTTCCATGGAAGAGAGTTTGTTTCTTTCCAGCAGATCCAACACGATGTGCTGAGACAATTTCTGAAATCATCATGTTGAGGATGCAAACCTACATACCGAATACTGCAAGAAGAACATCTTCCGATAAGGCCTGGTTCAGTAGAAACTGCTCTAGAGCTTTCGCTTCCAAACAGGCAGCATTCCATCGATGGCAGAAAAATCCAGGCCCTGAGACTAGAGCAGAATATGTCGAGGCTAGAGGCATATGGAATGAGACGATTCGATCATCAAAAGATGCTCAGAATGCCAAAATAAGATCAAAACTTGTTGAATGTCCTTCGCCAAAGCTGTAGGAAGAAACTTCACTTCCAGCCGTGGCACTTGATATCTCCAAGGCATTCGATCGAGTCTGGCACCACGGACTCCTTGCCAAGCTTTCATCTTATGGCCTGCCTCCCCAGCTATTTTCTCTGCTAGCTAGTTTTCTCTCAAACATGTCTCTCCATGTAGTGGTCGACGGAGTTTCATCTGACTATCTTATCATAAATGCTGGTGTTTTCTAGCAACACTATATCTACTCCATATAAACGATTTGTTGAAATCAACTTCATGTCCAGTACACAGCTTCGCGGATGATAGTACCCTACATACCGCCTTCTCTTCCAGGGCTCCAATACCAACCAGGCAAATCAGAAACGAACGAGGGAGAAATGTTGACATCATAAATATGGACTTGGCAACAATTCTCGAATGGGGATCCAATAACTTGGTAGATTTCAATGCAAACAAAACACAAGCATGTCTTTTCTCTAGAAAAGCCGATCTCACTGTGCCTAACATAAGCTGGTCAGGAGTAACCATATCTTTGAAGACATAGCCTTTCTTGGGAAAATCACGTGAGATTAATTGCTAAAAGTGCATCCCAAAAACTGGGTTTTCTGTTTCGGGCCAGGAGCTATTTCACTTCCAGTCAGCTGCTTAAGATATATATATATATATATATAAGGCACAAATCTGACCTGTCCTGGCATACTGTTTCTATATTTGGAGTGCAGCACCCAAACATACCCTGAAACTGTTGGATTGTGTCCAAAAAAGGGCAATTCGTTTCGTGGGTGATGCCTCGCTCACAAACTCACTCACTTCTCTGGAACACCGTAAAAAAGTTGGCGATCTGGCTCCATTTTATAGATATTTTCATGGACGATGCTCTTCTGAAATATCAACAATTGTACCTCCCTTAACAGTCCCCGCAAGATTATAACCCGTCGAGTTGAGGCTTCGCACCCCTTCGTGGTCACTTTGGAGATCTGCAGAAAATCTCTTTCCAAAGACTCGTTCATTCAACGAACAGCGAGAATCTGGGACACATTGCCAAGGAAAGTGTTCCCCGAGTCATATAACCTCCAGAAATTCAAGAACACCAATTTCTACCTTATTTTCCTTGGTTCTCACGATGTTCTCTGAACATTACAGGATATCCCTTTTCGTGGGAACAAGAACATAAAAAAGATTTTTTTCACGGTTGTTGCTAGGCGATGGAATGAATGCTTGCGGAAAAGGGTCCCATGCACTGCGTTGTTGGTGGGCTGTCCATGCACTGCGTTGTTGGTAAGCTTTTTGTTCGATTAACAAGTCTGTTCGAACAAGAATTACGCAAAACCAAAGGCTGCAAAATGGTCGTTTTCGCTAGCTACCATTTTTGTTCGAACATACTCGTTTGACGAACAAAAACAGCCCACCAACAACGCAGTCTATGGGCTCCCTTACGGGATTTAGCAAGACAAGAAGCGAAGAAATCAAGGCGACTGACTTCGTATCCCGTATGGAGTGCCAGTGGAATAGAGATGGAAGCGGGAAGAAGCCCCAACGATATCCTCAGGTATTAGATGATAATATGCTCGCATCTTATGTCATAAGAAAGCAGGACAGGTGTTATCAATGAAAGTGACATGAAATGAGATTGATGTACTTGGTAATAATTGCGAAATATCATTTAATCATTTAAATCATAGGTTGAATGAGGTTGTCCTATTTTTCGGCAGTTGTATGAAAAATATTGTATGTAACACGTGCGTTAAGTATTTTTTACTCATAGGAATGCTGCAGTCCGCCATCAGCGTCGTGCGTCAACATTTCCTATTCGTAAAAAAAGTACCACTTCACGCACTTGTTACATAAATAACTATTTTCGGCAACCGTACGTACTTCCCGGACTAGGTCGGGAAGAATAACATATTTCAATTGGGCAAAAGCCAAATACTCAAAGTGGAATGCAATCGTCACAAAGAGAGAGAAAATCAAAGTCATTACCACAATGGTTTATAAAATGAACGAAAATGTTAGAAAACGAGAGGAAAACTAAATAGTTTTCTGGCAATATGCCACGCATAACGTTTAATTAAATCCTCCCGATATCTATGCAACGATTCGTAAAGACGAATACATCTTCAAGTGATTCTTTCCTGAATGCTTAGTTGTGCTTAAATTGTTCAGGAACGCTTGACTACCTACAGACCGGTTTCGAGCTGTGGGATCTCATCAGTACAGGGGTGTCTCCAGATGTGGCATTCATGACCGCCATCTGGTGCGAACATGACCCAAGGTAAACTCATTCTAGCATTCAATATCCACGAGGACTTCGGCAACTACGTGATGGACACGAACGCCACCTGAGTAGAAGGAGAAATATATTTTATTATGTATGTGTGTGTGTGTGGGCGGTCCGGGACCTGACGGACTTAGGCCTCCCTTTTCGGGCCCATTGTGCACCCACATTCCTGGGATCGCAAGTCAGCCATGGAGAAGGCCGATCTCGCGAGCAAAAGACACCAACTTTCTAGGCCAAATCTTTTCAACATCCTCTGGGTCCAGGATACTGCCCCCAAAATGGATATCCCATGCTGCCACTACTGCCGGGCATTCAGTGAGGATGTGAGTATAAGTCTCTTTATCCTCTAAGCACCATCTGCATTCAGGATCCTCCACAATCCCGATCGTGCTGAGATGCTTGTTCAAGTGGCAGTGCCCTGTCAGAAGGCCCACCGCCAGTTTCAACTCCTTCCAGTTCAAAGCTAAGAGGGCATTGGTCTGTCTTCGTGACGGGTTTCCTAAATGGAGTTTGGACTGCCTCATTCCAGGTGCCACTCTCCAGCTGCCCTGAAACATTTTTGTCAGGATTTACTTCATCCTGAAGTTGCTCCAGGATCGAGTGACCCCTAAGATTGGCTCTGGACCAATCACTGAACCCTTCGCTCCCTTTCTGGCCAGACCATCGGCCATTTCGTTATCTGGTACCCCTGTGTGCCCATCAGGGATTGGTTTCCTATATGGAGTTTGGACTGCCTCATTCCAGGAGCCTCTCTCCAGCTGTCCTGAAACCTTTCCGTCAGGATTTACTTCATCCTGAAGTTGCTCTAGGATCGAGTGACCCCTAAGATTGGCTCTGGACCAATCACTGAACCCTTCGCCCCCTTTCTGGCCAGACAATCGGTCATTTCGTTACCTGGTACCCCTGTGTGCCCAGGGATTGTATTATACAATCTACCAAGGGCTCATTATTAGAAATCAAATCGATAGTGATATCATGTTGAATGGCGATTGAAAAGGTTACACTTTGCCTTCTCGGAGAATCAATAATTGATAAGAATGTTACACATAAGTGATATTCTTTCATTCTAAACGGACACATTTCACTTGAACTGAATCAGTAGACATGCATTGTACATAATGAACGTCATTCGATAGAACGATTCAGTTCAGTTCTAGTGAAATATTTCAGTTAGTTCAGATTTAAAGAATATTACTATAGTAAGATTTTGATAGTCTAATGTAAACCCTGTTTTCATTTCATGCAATTCCAACCTGTAAAGGTGAAATTTACTTTCCGACTTTTGAGATGTTCTGTAATCGCATCTAAGAGCAGAGTGAGAGCGAGAAGATTTTCAGTCATGTGACCTCTGGAGCATACAGATAAATAAAATAAAAGAACACTCCTAGAGGAGTCGTGAGTGACATCATGCTCCGACATGAATTGATTTTCGATCATGTCGATCATGTCATCTACTGAAAACTTTACTTGAAAGTGGATGTAAATAATGTTTTTGGTGTTGCTATAAATATTGTGATCAATTTTATGATTGATATAATCAATGAAGATGATGAAGAAGCAGCCGTTCTAGAAAATAAAGAGAATTTTGCTGAAGTGACCGTGTATAATTTCAATGACAGACAATTCAAAGAATATTTTCGTCTCCTTCCAGAGACCTTTGAAATACTTCTGCTGAAACTTCATGATTCTACACTAATAATTCATATTTTTTCATGAGATTAATAAGTAACATTATCACTTCATGTGTCCAGAGTTTGCTAGTGTCTTCTGAGTTATTTTCCATTCCAGTAGAACTACTTGCATCAGCAGCATAAGTTGTTTGTAGTGTAAATTCTGTTTGAAGGCCCAACTGACGCTTCATTTGATCAGTTAGAGTAACATACTACTGCAATGACAATAAAAATTGTGATTTCTTACCGATTTGGATCAAAAATTTTTCATTTTCTATTATGGGCACGCCTGTTTCTGTGTAAAATATACTAGCTTCCTTCATATTTGGCTTATACAAACTGCGAGAGAAACTACTGTGCTTATACTAATCGAATTAATTCAATAATAAGATTCAATGATTCAAACCGAACCAGAAACCAGTGCTCAAACTCCAATAATCAATACCTGTCATTCAACAAAAAGCTGTCAAAGTTGAGATATATCTACTTCCTCTGAATAAATAATGCGAGCAAAACAATTTTATTTTTTCCTGGCTGTCAAATTACAGAACGCTCCAAGTAAATTGTGTCTTGCTCTAAATGACATTGAAAAACGGCTCCGGAGGTGAACAAGCAAATAAATGTGATTGCAGAACATCTCATTTGCCTAGGAATTATTGCTGTTGCCCTTGATACTCACCTATTAATGAGATACTCAATATATTCTTTATAAGAATCATTAAATGGTGTGATCGCATTGCTTTGCAAAAAATGAGCAAATCTGGCACAGGTAGTGACAATGATGTGGTGCTCAGTGTCCAATTCTTCTTTTTTGGTTGTGATGCTTTTAATGAGTTTTTCCGCTTCCTCTACCATTTTCGTCTTGTCGTTGATATTTTTCTCAACATTATGATCGACTTCTTGGATGTCCTTCACTTCGGTCGTGTAGTAAATGTGTTGGTGTACTCTATAATCGCACCCGCATTCTTTGCATTCATTCGATCCGCTCATGGCAGCGCAATTCATCAGTTCTGGAGCACCAATCGTTTCTCTTGTAACATTGCTCAAATAACACGGGTCATGGCACCTCTGTTTATAGTGCCAAATATTCCTTCCATTTTTCTAGAATACAAGGTTCGTTCATTATTCATTTATTTATTCAAGTTAAGGCCACTAACAGGTCAGATACCCAATATAAGAGTAGCACAGATTACAAAAATAAACAATAGTTACAAGTTTTAGTGGCTTAAGAAAAGAAAAGAAGTGGAAGAACAAGTCGAAGGTCTATATGGGAAACAGAAAATGATTCTCTCAAAATATCTCAAATTATATGTATATGGAATGACGAGAAGACACAGTAGTATTGAAACAATGGAGGTGTAATCAATAAGGTATGTACATATGAGTTTTTTCATCAACTCATGAGTAAATAGTTTTTTTCAGACATCTCTTGAATTGACCAAGATTTTGCGAGAAATTATCAATATTACCAATTTTATTATCACTCAGAGCTGGGTTATAAGATTTAACACATCTGTGTACAGGAGAATTCAGAACGTAATTTGTTCTACTTTCAGGAGTCAGAAAGAGACTTATATTTCTGATGATATAAGGAGAACAATTTAAAGATACATAGTGAAGACAGTATCTGGAATCGATAAGGTTATTGTATAGTTTGTATATCGGACAAACATCTGAAAACTCTCTTCTCTGACTTGAATGTTGAAGTTTATAAAATTTTGAATTGCTTTCATACGAAAAGTTGTGGCGATTTCTATTGAAGTTGTAGTTCAGTTTGTTGATCAATTTCCGTTGGATATTTTCGATCCTGTTTACATAAGTACCATAAATTGGGTTCAAAATTGTCGAGGCATATTCCAAAAGTGAGTTGTATAACATTATTATCGATTATGATTTTTCAAAAGATTGTGTGGCCCTCGGAATGAAACCCAAGTTTCGTTGAGCTCTTTGTATAGCATTTTCAATATGCACATCGAACTGAAGCTTATTTAATTCCAAGCTCTTTGATTTTGTTTACGACATTGAGATTTTGTCCTGATAACGAAAGATTTCGAATCAAGTCAATTTAAATCCCGTGTTGGCCGCTAGATGGCATCGTTTGAAAAATCAGCCGATTTGCCTTTTTTTTTTTCGAGAATTTCAATGCAAGCGCATTTCTCATAGCTTACATAGTATAAATTGCCAACGTCACCAATTGTCATTGAAAACTGAAAAGCTTCAAGACATATTATACGACTTTGCTATTGAAATAATCTCTTTTCATGTTGAAAACGGGAGCAGAATCGGTCCCGAAACGTCCAAAGATGAGTAAAAATTTGATATTTTTTCTATATACCTTTATTTCTCTTCTCCAAAATTTTTTCAATACAAATTGTCACTGACAAGCTAGTGAATTTTTCTTTTAGGCTCTCTAATAGGAAAATTCTGTAAACGCAGTGACATTTTGGGAAAAATCATCTGATTTGTCCTTACTACACGTATATTGAAATAATATTCATATTTTCATTTCATAGAAAGGAGAGAAAATCCCAAAAAATTTAGAATAATGAATAGACATATTTTGATTCACTGAACAGACAATATTATACCTCCTGGCACTAGGCCGTTTTCATTTAGATCGACAATGGCCTAGCAAATGGAAAACTCGCTTGTCAAACAAAGTGTCACTTTTGATCCTAATAAAACAATCTACTATTTGTAATTTATTAATAATATCACCTGATGAACTTCAGCACATTTGGTATCAGTGCAAACTGTTGCTGGCTTGTCCATTTCGACGAGTATCAATGCTATAGTCGGTATGTACAGTTTATTCCTGAATTCGTCCAATGAGTCGTGATCCATTTTGAGAATTGCCTCATGCTTCCTTAGCTCATGCATATTCTGACTGATATTTTGGGATATTTCGGCCAGAGGTTGTGCCAGTTGGTTGATCATTCTCCTAGCCTCATTTATTGCATTGGTGCTTTGGACATGATGTGGTTCTAATGCAGGATTGTTAGCGTCACCAACTATGTAGTCGATAATCCTGGAAAAGGGTGATATTAAATTATACATTGGGGACAAAATCTTTGAGGCAAGTCCCTCTTCTTCCCAAAATTCTTAGATTTTTGTTCAATTTCGTGACTTAGGAAAAACTAATATTTTGGGAATATTCGTTAAGCTGGTATCATATTGACGTGTTCGATAAATTTTGTACTTCTTTTAAAATCACCATGTATAAGTTATTAGGTTATACTGGGTGGGTCACGGTAGATGGCAAAGACGTTTACGGAGAACGGGACATAAGCTCCTTCTGAAAATTTGGTTACTCAAGTAATTGCTCTTGATCTATCGATCTAAAATATTTTCAGCTCTGCGGCGTTGCCGCTTCTATCGAAAAGTAGCAACAACTTTGTTATTTTAAATGGAACACCCTGTATTTTATCGCATTTTCAGATTCTCTCTGAAAAGATGATTTCATCGATGTATCACACTTGAGGTCTAGCGGAAATGATTACAGAGATATAGGGTGTGAAAAATCGACATTTTTCAACTTTAGGAATTTTTTTCGTCGAAACTATTCATCATTGGTCAAAACGGCTCACATGTTCCTATCCCAACTTTTGATCAACTATCTACTGACAATTAATTGAAACAAATACAGGGTGGTGCAGAATTCAGATTCTTGATCACCCGGTATATGTCCCAATTAAATATCAGTAGATAGTTAATCAAAAGTTGAGATAGGGACATGTAAGCCGTTTTGACCAATAATGAATAGTTTCGACAAAAAAAATTCCTAAAGTTGAAAAATGTCGATTTTTCACACCCTATATCTCTGTAATCATTTCCGCTAGACCCCAATTGTGATACACCGATGAAATCAGCTCTTGTGAGAGAATCTGAAAATGCAATAAAATACAGGGTGTTCCATTTAAAATAACAAAGTTGTTGCTACTTTTCTATAGAAGCGGCAACGCCGCAGAGCTGAAAATATTTTAGATCGATAGATCAAGAGCAATTACTAGAGTAACCAAATTTTCAGAATGATCTTATGTCCCGTTCTCCGTAAACGTCTAAGGTGCCATCGACCGTGATCCACCCTGTATATAAACGTATATTACACGTATGTGTGTTTATTGGGACTGTCTGTACTTACTTATAACACTGTTCCACAGAATTCCACCAGCTCTCTAAATTACGTTCTCTGATTGAAGTTTTGAATTGCAAACCATGTTTCACAGCTGCTAGATATTTGAAAGCTTCGTTATCAAAACAGAAGATATTCCTCTCGATGGGTATCTCAGCGTGTGGAGGATTTTTCTTGATCAATTCAATTTCTTTCTTGAGCAGACTGATCGTTTCACCTGGTCCATAATCAGAGCCTCTTGTATTGGTGAATACGAATATAATATTCCTGCTTGCCGATTTGTCTAAGCGGGATAAAATTTGAGCCATGCAATATTTGAAAAACACTGTATTTCTCGACTGGTTGGGTTTGAATAGAAAACAGATTGCGTGCAGCTCACGTAGTTGGCCAATGTAAGTTAGGATATTTTCCGAATTTTCATGATCTTGTTCAATACCCCTGGTATCTCCCATTCCAGGTGTATCTATCAATCTTAATTTCGCTTTACCGTCCTTTATGGGGAAAACGTATGTTTTGACGTCTTGGGTAGCTGAGGCACCAACGCTTAAAAATTCGTTTTTATCTGAATCTCCAGTGTTGATGGTGTGAGACTTTCCATCTATATCCAACATGGTGAATGCTGTAGGAATGAGAACGAGTAATTTCTCTTTTTCTGCATCTTCTAGATCTTCATAGGTCAAATAATTGGCAACAGAGTTGATGAATGTTGATTTACCAACTCCCGTTTCTCCCAAAAGAAGCACATTGATTTCTGTGCTCTCAGTCATGCCTAAGTTTTTGACTTTATTTATCAGACCCGATACATAGTTCATCGCCATTTTTGGATTTTGCTGAAAAATAAAATGCCAAACTAAATCTGTGACTATAATTTTCTTTATTGGAACCCTATACGTGGTGTGCCTCCGAGAACTGCATCGATCAATATATGTATAGAAGATAAGTTTTCAAATTCTTATCGTGTGTGTTCAATAGATATAATTCAATGTTCGTCGTGGCATATAGCCAGGAAAGTAGTTGTTTTCTGTTGAATAAACCGAGAAAGAATTGTTATTTTTATCACATAGGGAATGCGGAATCTCAATGTATTTCTTTATATGTGCAATGAAACTCTTTGTGTGGTCGGATTTACTGGCCTCAAAATGAGCACGGAGTTGATTCGAATGGATTTATTCGCTCCAAAAACACCCAGTATGACAAAATGGAACACCTTGTAACGCCGTAAGCACAACTACAAGAACGCAAATCTAAAAAAAAATAGGCCGATTTTTTTTTATTTGTTGATAGGTAATAATGCATTTGTCTTAAAAAAAAAAATAGGTGAAAATTTTTTCAAAGCCTCCTTGGTGGTGGTGGAATAACTCGAACCATGATTTATTCTCAATTTTTGACTCACCCTGTGTGTTAATTGAGTAATGGCATAGAAAGTGCTTACACCCTATACGAAAGAGACTTCTTTTTTTTCTGAATCCTTGCAGATTACCAACTTTCTGAATTTATCGAGAAACAATTTTCTAATGAAATAAACTGATACCAATAATTTTAAAAAACATTTTCATTAAACACAAAATTATAAATTGGGATGGCTGCTCAATACCGTGTATTGCCTCCTCTAGCAACTCTAAGAACTTCTAATCTACGAGGCATACTGGAAATTAGGTTGCTTATCGTTTCCATTGGTATACGATCCCATTCTTCCTCTAATGCATCTGCCATTTCTGCGAGACTTTCCGGAGACCTCTCGCGAGAACGTACCCTTCTCCCTTATTCATCCCACAAATGTTCTATAGGATTCATATCGGGGCTTCTCGCAGGTCATTGTAATGTGGTAATACCAGTAGCTTCTAAGAAGTTTCGCACTGTTGCTGCGGTGTGTGGTCGGGCATTATCCTGCATCAATATAAAATTATTGCCCACTAACTCTGCATAAGGTAAGACATACTGCTCTAAAATGTCAATGTAAATTTGGGCATTCATCGACTGCCTCACCGGAAAAACATGAAGGGGTGTCTTTCCATTCATTAAAATCCCTCCCCACACCATAACGGACCCACCATTAAAACTTTCGCATTCTGTTATTAAATTTTGAGTAAACCGTTCACCAGTTCTTCTCCACACTCTTTTTCTTCCATCCACCATGTTAAGGCAAAACCTTGACTCATCCGTAAACAAGACATTCGACCATTCAGGAATATTCCACTGTCCATAATTTTCAACAAAATTTCTTCTAGCAGCACGATGGCACGAAAGCAATAATTTGGGACCTATTGCAGGTCTCCTAGCTTTTAAATTAACTTCTTTTAGACGTCTACATACCGTCTGCTTACTTACTGCAACATAACGAATTTGGCGAAGATCTTGCTGAACATTTACCGCAGTATTCGATCGATTCCGTAAAATCCGCAATCTCAAGAAGCGATCATCTCTTGGAGAAGTTTTTCGGGGGCGACCAGAAACGACCCTCCGAGCGGTGCTTCCTGTTTGTTCGTACTTGCGGATTGCTCTACGAGCAGTTGCTTCATGAACTCCCACTGCACGAGCGGCGTAACTTTTACTACGCCCATCGTTTACTAACGCAACTAATCTTGCTACTTGTTCAGGATTTATTTGAGGCATTTTATGTAATTTTAGTCAATGAAACAAGACAATTAATTAATGACATAACGACAAATGGTCAAATATTGAGGCATACAACAAATTAGTTGCTATGGCAACGGCATTTGTTTTTTTAAAGACAATGTGATCCTACCAGAGAGTACAACCCAATCAATTTTGAGTACTCTGATCCTTCAATAAATTCAATTTGTGGGATAAGTCTAAGGTATCAGCAAAAAAGCTGTAATTCGGAAAATTTTAGAGATAAATCAATGAATAAAAAAACAAAATGCTCGCAAAAAAAGCCTCTTTTGTATAAGGTGAAGCACTTTGTATGCCATTACTCAATTAACACACACACAGGGTAAGTCAAAAATTAAGAATAAATCATGGTTCGAGTTATTCCACCACCATCAAGGAGGCTTTGAAAAAATTGTCACCTCTTTATTTATTTTTCAAGACAAATGCATTACCTACCAACAAATAAAAAAAAATAAAAATCGGCCTAATATTTTTTGTTTTTTTTTTCAAGAAGATAGGTCAAATATCAAGTGCGTCACTTTTTTTGGACCTGAGAGTATTTCGAGTAGTGAGATAATTTCCCTTGGAAACCAAAAGCTGTTTTAATAATTGTGTTGGCCTATGAAACACTTTGGTTCAATAACATAAAAAGCGTAGTGTTTTTGCGTAGCCCGGGTTTTTGCGAGCCGTTCGCGTATCTATGAACTTTCCGTGAATGGCTGGGAATTTTGGTAGAATTGCGCATACAGGGTGTTCCAAACAAACCAGACGAACATTTACAATTAACTAATTTATTACAACAGTGAATATCGACTATCGAAGACCAATAAATGGAGAGCTAGGGGTTTTGCTACATATATGTATATCCATTTTTTCATTTTTTTATGTTCATGATTTATCTGAGAATATTCCTTTTCAATAATTATTTTTTTCTCATTTCCATGATTCCATGACGATGAAAGGTACCTATACTGAAGTCAGCACTGAAGTCGCATCAGGAATTCAACCATTTTACATTATTAGTTATTTCCATTCTTTGGAATGATAATACTATTATTTATGATCTCAAAGTGTAACAATAAAAAAAATATCGTGAATTATTCGTGGTTAACTGGTCTTTGAAACACTTGCTTTATTTCGAGAACTCTGGCTCTGGCTCGAAAAATCGCGTCTTTAAAAACATCAATATCCACTTATACCCTAATATGTATATACAAATTTCACAAACTTCACATTGAGATAAGAAACTCAATATTGTTAACTTCCTCATTGATCTTACGAGTAGAAGAAAAAATACATATATATATTATTTTTTACAAACTTCACAGTGAGATAAAAACCACAATATAGGAAACTTTCCCATTGTCAACCCTTGACCACCTCGATAACGCCCCTGACGAAATAACCCTGATTTTGTTTTAAAGTTCTCTCCATCTACATGGATCTCATGGAAGTTCGTCGTGAATGATAGCCTGTATAGTGTATAATTTTCGAAACATTTTCCGACAAATTGATAAATAAATATTAATAAGCTTTATAAATCATAAACAAACTAGATAAAGATATAAATGCTACGTTGCAGTTTCAGCTTTATCGAACAACAATGTTCAAATGGCTATCGACCGAATTCGTTCTGCCAACTTTATCTACATTTTCGCAGTATACCTACTCATAATTTGATCTTTGAGTCAGCAAAATAAAATGTGAAATATGAACCGTCTGCAAACATGAATGAATCATCAGGCCATATACAGCGTTGTTTCACTTAGAACAGGGGTAGATTTTTCGTAAAATCATGGTTTTAATGGTTTTATATAGAAATTTTGATAACAAACTTATTATAGTCGCTATAAGCCGCGTATTACTCAAGGATCAACAACTTAATTGATTATCTCTAGAGATAGAAAATAATAATAAACAAAAATGACCTTTGTATAATGGTCAACGGTTTGGCCTTATTTCGCGGCACACCCGGTAAAGGTATAGGCGTGGTCGGTGAACTTCTTTTGAATCATTAGTCATTATTTATCAAGTGCTAAAATTTCCCTTGTTTGCATATAAGTTATTAAGAATCACCCTGTATAATGGTCAACGGTCTGGCTTCCTTTTCGCGGGACACCCGGTATGTATGGGCGTGTTCGTTTATGCTTCGTTGGGATTTTGCATATTATATTATATTTACACCTTACACGCTGGGTTGTTTTTGCCTAACAAATCTTAACAATCATAAGAACTTTTATTTTGTATTTACTCGGCCGTTAAAATTTGAAGGAAATCCATAGTATATATAGGTACCTAATAAACGTGATCAACTGAAAAAGATGTGGGTATTAAGAATTTTGCAATTTTGTGGATATAATCTTATCGGTGTGTGAAGTTTTTTACAATCAGATTGACGTTGTAGAACCGGTGTTTTTACTCGAAAAACTGAAAAACAAAACATAAAACACGAATTTCGAATTCCTGATAATAAGCACAAACATCGCAACCGCAATTCAATTGGAAAATATATTTTTCAGATAGAGTTTCTGCTGGCATTAGGACGACATATAGGGTGTATCATGGGTGATCATGGTCACAGATTGTGTACCTTATCACCATCACGTTTCACCCAGCAATTCATCTGATAATATTCTTATATATAGGACAAAAATTATCTCAATTGCAAAGTTTTACATTCTATTTTTCTATCAATTTCACCACCGACTTACCCTCTTTATTATTCTCGTTCAACAGCTCTCTGCTGGTCTCTCTAGGAACCATACACACAATGAGAAAAAAATGTAAAATGCACAATCGTAAAATGCCTCTGGGGGAAGGCCCTGGAGGGTAAGGGAATCACCGAATACGAACCACCTTATCTATGATCAGTGTGATCTATATCTGAAAGCTGAAAGATCTAAGCAGGGAACCACACAGAAAATGAAAATGTTTTCGTCTCTCCAGTCCCCTCTCTCTCTCTGGAAAGTGCTGCCATATGCTGCCAACGTTCGCGATAGATAATAAAGGAGTGCCTAAATCTTTCGAACCATTCCCATCAAGTGATATGTTGAGATTCGTGTTTTTATGCTTTTTTTTCGCAATGAATTTGTGGAGGCTGAGTTTGGTCAGGAAGTTTTATACTGGTCCGCTAATAGCATTGCGTCAGCCCCCTGTGATGATTGTGTAGTATTTAAGGCTTTCAAGGATGTTTTTCGTTTTTCCTTCCTCTCGAGATTCTACGAGCGAATGCGACTATCAGAGATTAGTAAACCACAGAACTGGTTGACTAATCTGCTAATCTCTGGCGTCTATATTGTATCACGTGATTCACTCTGTGACCAATCTGACAATGAAGTTTGGGAATGGTTCGAAAACTTTAGGCTCTCGTGAAAATAACGGGAGCACGACTAAACTGAGAAATATCCAGTTCAAAAATATCCTGTCAAAAAAATCCTGCCGGAAATAACCTGCACATTAATATATTTAGACAATGATAGCCTGACCAATAAGATTTCCATTCCTCAGTCAAATTATTATAATGATTTTATAAAGGATATAAATGATAAGATTATTTTCAGCAGGATATTTTTGACAGGATATTTTTGGACGGGATATTTAGTCGTAGACCCGAAAATAACACGCTGCCCCACCTGACGGCAACAACTTGAACACTTCTCTGCAATTTGTTTTGATGATGTGACCAATAAGCACAAACAAAAACAAATACGTGAACCAATGAAAACAAAGTATACAGGCAGCTTAGACAGCTCTCAAGAACACGCGAATCGGTAATAATATATAAAGGGTGGGCCATCTATTGGTCCGATTTTGAGTAGATCATTAAATAAACAAAAGCTGATTTTTTTGCAACGAATTCCGCTTTATTTGCTACAGTGTTTCTTCCGATTAAGTATGGAAAATGATTTCATTGAAATGTTGGCCACGGCTGGCTCGGCAGTAGGCCATCCTGGAACACCAATTTTCAAGCACTTCGTTCACTGTTTCCTGGTCAATTTGGGCAATTTCGGCACGAATATTCTGTTTCAAGTGATCAATTGTTTGGGGATTGTCGGCATAAACTTTACTCTTCAATGTACCCCACAGAAAAAAGTCCAGCGGCGTCAAATCGCAGCTGCGAGCAGGCCAGTGGACATCGCCGAAACGGCTAATCACACGGATGTTGAATCTTGTGCGCAGAAGGTTGATGCTACGCGCGGCGGTATGACAAGTTGCGCCATCTTGTTGAAACCATAATTCATCGAGATCGATATCTTCCAATTCCTGCCACAAGAAGTCAGTTATCATGTCGCGATAACGTTCACCATCGATATTCACGGCGCGCCCTTCCGCATTTTCGAAAAAGAAAGGACCTATCACGCCACCACTCCAAAATCCGCACCACACAGTGACTCGAGCTGGATGCATAGGCTTTTGGACGACAACGTGTGGATTGTCCGTTCCCCAAATTCTGCAATTTTGTTTGTTGACGTAGCCTCCGAGGTGAAAATGCGCTTCGTCAGAAAAGATTATTTTTCGTGCGAAATTTGGGTCATCGTTCAACTCATTTAAAGCCCACTCAGCGAAGCGTAAACGTTGTGAAAGGTCATTCGGTTCCAGTTCCTGAACGAAATGGATTTTATACGCAAACATACCAAGGTCTTTGTGCAAAATCCTCCTCAGAGTGGTTCGTGAAATGCCGACTTGTTGACTTCTGCGCCGAGTCGATGTTCTGGGGTTTTGACGAACACTTTCGGTCACAGCAGCGATTGCTTCTGCTGTACGCACCGGACGTGTATGCGGCACACGTCTGGCATCGACCAGCATCCCAGTTTCACGAACTTTATGCACCAACTTTCGAATTGCATGCGTGGTAGGCGCTGCATTTCTTCCAAATTTTGTACGCAATTTTCGCAATGTTTCACTCATGACAGAACCACATTCAAAATAAGTTTTCAGAATTTCAAAGCGTTGGTCCAAAGAAAACCGATCCATATTCGTTCAGCGGAAGGTTAGAACTAACCTAGAATCAACAACTTATGGCGCTAAAGTTGACAGCGCCATTATCGACTGGCTGTTCAAAATCGGACCAATAGATGGCCCACCCTTTATATATATATATACAGTCTGTCAAGATAAGGTTGAACAGCATGGGGATCTCGGAAACGGTAGGAGATACGAAGTCGTTTAAATGGGGAAAAAGTTGCGCATTCGGAGGTTTATATCAAGAGCCATCGAAAATTTTTAAAATTATTCTTAGTTTTTGAGTTATATCGAAAAAAGTGAATTTTTGGAATATCTATTTTTTTCCTCCGTTATCATCAGAGATACAGAAAACCTGAAAATACTTTCTCATAGCAACTTTTGATGACGTTTAACGTGGTGATACCGATTTTTTTATGCGACGTTTCGTATCCGTAGAACCATCATCAACTTTTGTTTTTTAAATAAGGTCCTGATAATTTTTTCACAGATTCTGAAAGGTTTTTTTTATTGTGAATTCAACCATGTTTTATACAAGGTGATTATAGAATAGAATAGAATTTTATTCGCCACTGTGGTACATTATGTACATATGGTATGTCAATTTGAAGTAAAATATAAACAAACATATAAAAATCTAAATATATAAAAAATATCAGGATGAATTATATCACATAGTAGTAACTAATAGGTATACACATAATAAATGACAAACAGGACTATATATCTACAAGTAACATAATGGAATAGACAATACATATATTTGGGTCCTTTATTATTTTTTTTTTTTTTTTAATGTTCAATTCAGAGTATCGTCCAAGAATTCGTCTACACTATAATAGCATTTTCTTATTAGCAATTCTTTCACTCTTCTATTGAATATATTGTCAGAAGTGGATTGCTTGATGGATACAGGCAGTTTATTGTAAAGAATGATCACATTATATAATGGAGATCTCTCATATTTTGCACCTTTGTGATCCGGAATCCGCAATACATTTCCATGTCGCGTATTGTAATTGTGCATACTAGAATTTTTCTCCAGCTTATGAAAATTAGTTCTGGCAAATCTAGTACATTTCAAAATATACACTGAGTACGCTGTCAATAAATTTTCACGTATGAATACTGATTTGCAACTCTCTAGGCGATTCATATTGAAAATTAGTCTGATGATTCGTTTTTGTGCTACAAAGGCTCTGGAAAATTCTTTGGTAGAACCCCATGCCATTATATTGAGAGATATGTGGGAATATGCCATGGCAAAGTAAATATTCAGTAGACCTGATATATCTAAACAAGATTTCATTTGTTTTATTGCAAAGAATGCTCTGTTCAATTTATTGCAAACACTATTTATCTGCATATTCCAGTTCAGTCTTTGATCTAAGTGAGTTCCCAGAAATGTTACCTCATTGCTCAATTTGATGTCATCGATAATCTGTAGATCAGCCGGCATATTATTCTTTCTGTTGTAAAAGTTAACTATTACTGTCTTAGAGGAATTCAAAATCAATTTATTCCTTTGACACCACGAACTGAAATCATCAATAATGTTATTGACTCTTGCGATCAATTCTTCAATATCCCCACTAGTAACTGTAATCGTGGTGTCATCTGCAAACATTGTTATATGACAATTTGCAACATACTCTGACAATTCATTAGTATACAGTAAGAAAAGTAATGGCCCAAGCACTGATCCTTGGGGCACTCCGAGCTTTACGTCCTTGATACCTGAATTGATTCCATTGCATTTCACAATCATTCAAATGTGTTCCGACCTATTTATATCCATCATCAATGTTTTTTCGAACTTCCAAAGGAAAAGAGCCATCAGTTCCACTTATTTCTGATCATTTAGTGTCAAACTTGATGGATTAGTTATTCAATACTGAAAAGTGAATGAAAAATATTTCACTACATCATTCAATGCAGCGCTTAAGATTGTTGATGAATTCTTACACGAATTACTTTAACAACTTAACTTTGACAATACCTACAGAAACATTCATAACAAATGTTCAAAATGATAACCATTATTTTCTGAACAAAGATATCTTCTTCTCACAGTTGCTTCTAAGACATTACTAAGCATTTCTGGGGTTATTCTATTGAATGCTTCGAAGACACTGTCCCTTAGTTCTTCTTCATCATCAAAGTTATTTGCGTATACAAAGTTTTTTATACAGGGTGTTTCGAAATTCGACCGACAACGTTTGACAGGTGATAGCCCTCGTGATTTCATAATCATTGAGATAGGAACATTCGGTCTTCAAGTGTTCAGTTCTCGAGATACAGGGCGTTGAAGTTGAGAAATGAAAATAGTTGTTTCGCAATATCTCAAGAATAATTGAATATAATGCATTCAACTTCGGTATATGGTTTCATCTTTGAATGGGCCATTTTTTGACCTGGAAGCCATTCCGGACATTTTGTCCAGTGGTGCCCTACAGGGGGTTGTGGCATTTTTTCCTTCCATATTTTCTACGCCACTGATTGAATTTCGATTATTTCCAATTCCTCGAATTCATTGTTCAATTTTGTTCAGAAAATGCATCACCTTCAACTGAGCTGAAATAAACAGTTTTCGAGATATTCGACCCAAAATAGAAGATTGCATAGTAATATTTCATCATTTTCAGTAGTAGAAAATTGCAAAAATATTTTTCTGGTGTTGAGTAGATTAGATACTATTCAGATCTCATGCTATAGCTGAACAGAAATAGTTATTCCACGCATAAAGAGAGAACAAAAATGTTCGTAATTTTCTAATACTGAGGAAGATGAAAAATTACTAT